GATGTTGTTTCTTTCACAATGTATACCTTGACATATACAAACCAAATAAAGAAATGATGTTTACCTACAAAAAAAAATAATAATAATAATAATAATTGAATAGTCTAAATGTAGGTTGGCTAAGATCTTTCAAGACATAGTCTCTAATTCCTAGTCTTAAAAAGAAGCAATTTTTATCATTTCCTAAAATCACATCTAGAGAATTAAGATTTAAAAAATCTAAGATAATTAATATTATACAGTAATATCTTAATGAACCTACTCCCTTGTAATGAGATAGTTAGTAAATAATTAAATTATGTGGACAACACAGTAGTCTTGATATTAAGGATTCAAGAATTACATACAAATCTAAACTCATTGACAGATGTTCAGCAAAATTGTGTTAGTTTAGCTTTGGTATAATATTTATATTGTATTACTGTTCTTTAAATTGGATTAATAAATGCATCCATTTACAATCTGATTAGAGGCAAAAAACAAATAAGAAAAAGTAAAGTTTTTAAATAGAAATAATATTAAAGAAAATAAAAAAACAATAAAAAATTTTTAATATAAGTATTTTAATTGATATAAATTTATAAAAAAAACAATAAAGTTTTTTTCTTTTTATTACAAATGAATATTAAATACAAGACTTAATTTATTATTAAAAAATTAATTATTATTATTATTTAAAAATATATAATTCATAAAAAACATTTTTTTAAAAATAATAATAATTTTTTTTTATAATATAATAATATATACAGTATATTAAAATTATAAAAAATTATTTTAAAAAATATATTTGAAAATTCTTATTTTGAAAAATCTAAAAGTAACATAATTATTAAAATTAATTATTTTAAAATCATCTTATTCACATAACTATATTTTTAACTAATATTTGAAATAAAAATTATATTATTATTAGATTTTCCGAAATAAGAGTTTTTGAATAATATTTTTTTATTAATTTGAATCAATATTTAATTAAATATAATGTTTAATTTATTTTTTTTAAATATTCGATCCAAATCGATCCCGATGGCACTAATACAATTTACTTATTATAAACACGTAATATAGTCAAACTTAATATAGTTAGATGCAAATCTGTGCTCAAAAATTACATTATTCAATTATACATAATTTTGGATCTGTAAAAGGTTACTTAACGTGTCAATCATTATCATTGATTTATGGCGTTTACGATACCATTGGAATGTAATCATTATTAATTTTTCCTTTTACGTCACAATCACATTCCGCGATATCTAGGTTATTCGTTTGTAAGGGACACTTTGCGATAAAATTTTTGATATTTGAAAGACAGGTTCTCAAAATTTCCTTCATTTTAAAATAGTTGAATTTAGCGCCATATTGTATTGAAATTTGTTTTTAATAAAAGTTATATAAAAAAAGGGCAACTTTCTCCAGAAACCAACGGTTTATGAATGGTAACGGATTTCCCTTACTCATCACAATTCGCTTTATAAGACAAAATTCCCTATGATATTTTTTAATGTATGAGGATCTGAGGGGCAAGTCGCGATGTGTAAACACGTTGTGTTACGAGCCAATGGTGGAAATTTTGGACAAGATCATCGCAAAATTATAAAAATTAGGACATCTTCTGCTTCAAGCTTCAAAATGTCTTTTACAACGTCTAAAAAGTTGACTTCTCAATTTAACTGTAATATCAATTTACCCTTTCCACCATCGATTACCATCGATGAAATACTTAAAAGGCATTTAAGAAATGGCGTTGGTAATGTTAACAGAACACTAAACGCCTTTCTTATTTATCGAATTGTGTATAATAGCGAAGTTAGAAAACTTGGTTTATCCACTGAGGACATATCAAAGTTGGCTAGCAATTCTTGGAGAAACGAATCAATACATGTCAAATCATATTATAGGGAAATAGCATCTGGTGTTAAATCAAGATTTAGAGAAAAAGTACCAATCTGTTTTATTAATTCTCAAGGCAAAGGATCCGTTAGAGAAAGACGTAAAATCACCGATACACCCATAGAAGAAATCAATCAAATTCCTCCTGTTATCACCGATTCTTCTCTTTCTCTCAAAAATATGGAACGGAACCATCAAAATAATACGGACCTGACTTTTATGGCTTCTCTCCCTATTGATTTGGCATTGACGTATAATGCATTAATGCAGTCCCTGCCCTTATAAAAACACAGTGACTTTGCTTATTTTTCTTTCTCACCTTTATGATTTCTAGAATAATTTTACCTTGTCAAAGAAAAAAATTAATTAAGATGCCCTTGTTATAACATTCTATTTCGCCATATAGTCACGTGATTTGGATCAATGACTCGAAGGAAATAATATTGTATAGTTCTGTGATATACGTAATTCACGCACATAAAAGTTGTAAATATTCATTGACATTTGATCGAACTTTAGAAGCCAGTAAAAAATTTCTTTTTACTAAAGACCTTCACAGACAGTTTTATTTGCAAAAACAAATTGATCGATCTAAAAATTTATTGGGTTGTAAACCTAAAACACGAATGCATTCAATTAAATCAATTGACCTTATTCTACAACAAATATAATAAATTATTTTATTTATAATTATAATGTATATAATTGTTTTGAAAATACGGTTGGTAAACAATGCAATATTAATAATTAAATCTCTATTTGCTATTTATTTTACTGATTGTTATTTTTAAT